AATTGGCCAAACTTACGCTGATTTCAAAAGCTTGCTATTTGCTGTGTCTCTATTGCGGAGCATAGACACTTTCGAACTTCTTCAAAGCGTAAAACTTACTGGCTAGCAAAGTGCTCATACCCAGAACAGTGCCCATGGCTCATTCAAGCTGCTGAATTATCTTCTCTTTGGACTGTAAAAAAATACAAAACTCAACATTTATGTAGACCTGATTATTCCAAAGAGAAGGATGACAAGATTATCACAAGCAAACTTATTTCTAGAATTATCTTTTCCAAAATTGTAGCTGATGTAGATTACAAGGTGAGGTACATCGTTAAAGATGTATTCGACTTATTTCGGGTAGCTGTAACGTACAAGAAGTGTTGGTTTGCCAAGTCTATTGCAATTCAACGATTGTATGGGTCCTGGGAGGATTCGTATAACAAATTATTGCCTCTGCTAGCTGTGTTGATGCAAAGCAATCCCGGATCAGTGACTGAGATTCAAATGTTGCCAACAGCGTCCCCTCAAACATTTCAATTCATGTATGTTTTCTGGACTTTTAAGGCATCCATTGACGGGTTTAACTTCTATTTTCCTGTTGTCTCTGTTGATGGCACTCACCTGTACGGGAAATACAAGGGAGTCTTGTTAATAGGAGTAGCAATGACGGCAAATCATGATATTTTTCCGTTAGCTTACTCCCTAGTTGATAAAGAAGACGGGGATAGTTGGAGTTGGTTCATGATGCATTTAATGCATCATGTAGTACCCGTTCATATGCTTGTTTGCATCATTTCTGATAGGCACGAGGGGATTGATATAGCTTTCAACAGAATCCCAGAATTAGGAGAACAACGTGTAACACATAGATACTGCTTGCGACACCTCAGAAGCAATTTCTAGAAAAAATTCAATAGCAAGAAGCTTAAGGCTTTGATGTATCATGCAGCGAGTACCCCGGATGTTTATGAATTTGATCGAACAATGCAAAAGATTCAGACACGGCGGGTAGAAGCATATGATTGGTTGATGGCTTTACCATTAGATAAGTGGGCACTAAGCTACGATGGTGGGTCTCGGTATGGAATACTAACCACTAATCTTCTAGAAAGCTTCAATCAGGTATTGAAGGGATGTCGTTCCCTTTCGATATATGCTATCATGAAGACAACGTACGAGAGATTAGTTAAATTATTTGCAGAAAGGCGAACAGACGGAATTACCTGGTTATAAACGGGGCTTAAATTCCCAAAATATGTTTGGAATGAGGTCAGAAGAATGGAAGATAATCATTTGCATTGTCATGTTATCCCTCATGATATGCAACAAGGGATTTTTCGAGTCACTATAGAGGGAAATGTTGGGTCTGCAGGTATAGAAAATGGAATTATTTTGAATTTGAGCCAACGCATCTGCACTTGTGGGAAATGGTCTACATTACATATGCCTTGTGTCCACATCTATGTCGTATGTCGTTTTTGTAAAATAACGGTTGATGATTTGATTCCATTGGTGTTCTCGCTGCAAAGCTACCTGAATGCATACGCAGGAAGTGTTATGCCACTACATAATGAAATGGAATGGGCTAATGTTGGTTACGAATTAATGCGACCAAACACGGGGTAGCGGTCACAACTCGGTCGTCCAATAAGTACCCGTTTTATTAATAACAAGGATATGCGACCGCGAAGAAAACGTCGTGGCATGTAGTTCATTCATAAATTACTACTTGTAATTCCTGTTTATGTGGTATATTTTAATTATGTATTTCTTTTGGGCAATAACGTGTGTGTGTCACACGCTTTTTTTATATTATTTGGTTTCAAAACAAAAAATAATGTTGTAATATTTGTATTTTATTTATCTATTTTTTCATTAATAAATAATCTATTATTATAAAAATAATAAATCAAATGCAAAACATAATTTTAATCTACACTAATTAAAAAATAAATAAAATAAAAATTAAAAATGTTATTTAACTAAAATATAAATCAAATGGTAAGTGTTTGTTAATTAGTAGAGTAGAATTATAGATGGAGTTCCATTTCATCAAATGTTTCCTGCAAAAAAAAAATCAAATGTCAGTTCGGTCTCACACTTCCATTATGTCAGTAGAGAGTTCACCATTTGGAAATGGAAATTCAATATGTGCACTGATTGGGAAATCCCCCGGATTTAGGAGGGGATTAGGGGGTACAAACCATCAATTTTATGTGGTTCTAATATGGCTCGAGGTTTGAAGGTCAAAACAACCATTTTGTTATTGTTATTATAAAATTTTAAATTAATATTAAAATAGTAGAATGAAAACTAATTAACTTCATTTAAATGTTTCATAAACAAATGATTTAGAGGTACAAGGAGTTTCTTGTTTATTACTGAACGTTGTTATAAATGAAAAGGAAAAAAAATCAAAATTAGGAAAGAATATTATCATAAAAATGAAGATCTCTTTTCCATATTTCAATTTACTTATGAGTAATTTTTTATTTATTTATTTAAATTAAATTAGTTTTTATTTCATTTATTTTAATATTGATGTAAAATGAAAATATAAAAAATATATTTTAATCTATACATAAAAATACTATAATTAACAATAAACAATTGGACTGTTTTCTTAATGATCAAATATTCAATCAAATAAATAAAACAAAGAATGGTTTCACGGGTTTGACTAATTTCAAATTCAAATAAAAAGTAAAAATATTACAAATTTCAATTTATGCATGGGAGAAGAATAATTGGATTTTAATTTTTTTAAAGTTTATTTGTTTGAATAATCGAATCATAGGATCGCTAATCTAAGTTTTTTTTTTAAATTATGTGGTAAGGATAGAATCCTAGGATCGCTAATCTAAGTTCTTTTCTAAATTATGTGGTGATGAAAAATCATATGGTTTAAGCAATGCGAATGAGGCGAATCATATTAATGCGGGGGAGATGATTCAATTTTTTTCCTTCAATTTTTTTTTCTAATTTTAATTCTCACGGGAAAAAAACCATATATTTGAAACATTGAATCATATGGTCGCTAATCCAATTTTGTTTAATTAACTTAGAGTAGGAATGCTAATATTTTTTTATTAATTTTTTCAAATTAATATATGAAGAAAAAAAATTATATTTTTAAAATCAATAAGAGAGAAGTGAATCATATTAATACGGGGAAGATGAACCAATTATTTTGTTAATCTATTTTATGCAGGGGCGAAAAATAATATTTTTTCCCATTAATGACAATTAGATAATAGTTGGGTTTGTGAATGAGATCACATGTTCGAGAATCTTAAACCATAAATAATTTTAATGAAAGTTGAACCTATTATGTTATTGATGATCACTAATCAAATATGTGAGTTGTGTAATACTCCCTCCGTACGGAAAAGAACTTCTAAATTGTCCAAAACACCCATGTCCTTCACCGGCCATTTCACCATAGTCATCGCCCAACACCACTGTCGCACCTTTCTTTGATTATCTTTGCCAGCACCCATCGCCGCCTCTTGCTCTGATCATCTTCGCTGCAATGGGGAGTCATAGAGAAAGTGTAAATTGTTTTTGATCTGGAGGAGAAAGAGTATCAATATAATGTGTGTAGATCTGGGAAGACTGTGAAGATTTTGACTAAGGAGATGAGGAGGAGGAGGAGGAGGATGAGGAGGAATTGGGGATAGGAGAGGATGTGAAAGAAGTGGGGGAAAGGAAGACAGATGGAGATCCGAGAAAAAAGAAAGAAATAGAGATCAAGGTTGATGATTTTGGACGGGCGGCCGTCCATTGTGACGATGTGCCGCGCCGGACCGAGATTTTTTTTCACAACCCAATAAATTAAATACATCTTCAACTTTAATTCATCCACTCTCATCTCACTCAATTCACTTTATCTCTTTCCTACAGTGAATCCCAAGGGCAACAACTTTAATTTTGAGAAATCCAAACTCGATGTTGTCATTTGATTTGTAAACACCGGTACTTTACTCAAGCTCCAATAATAGCCCCTACCAATTGTCGGCCGATAATACGATTGGCTAAGTCGTTTCTAAGTTTGAGCCCATCAGTGAGGGCATTAGCAAAGGAAAGGACAAAAAGACTGATGGGCTGAAGAAGTATACTTCGGCGGAAAGTCTCACATTGGCGAAGTACTACGTCAACATGTTAGAGGACACCATCATAGGCAACTATCAGAAATCTAAAATGTTCAAGGAGCGTGTTGCGGCGAAATACAATGCCAGGAGATCTGATGGTACGCCTGTGCGTGACAAGGAGATGCTTCGAAAATACTCGAGCCGTGTGCACCCGGAAGTTCAGAAGTTTGGTGGCTTTAATGCCAACATGCTCAAGATGTGGTCTAATAAATCCACCGCCGAAGACATTATGTCGAAGACGTTGGACCTTGATTATGAAGCGGAGAGGAGGGTTTTCAAATTTTAGGAAATCTAGAAATTTTTGCAGAGGAACCCAAAATTCAGCATTGGGACGGAGGTCGGAGGATCGTTACTACGAGAATAAGAGAGAAGAGTGAAAATGTATTTTGCGATTAAAATTAACAACCATGCTACAGCTATATACATAGAAGTGTATTCTAGAGTTACACCAAATATATGTTTTACTCCATCCGTCCTAAAACTTTCTTTCCAGAGCACTATTCCAACTTCACGGGAATTTATATTTATTTGTGTTTTTTCATGGCCTATATGATAAAATAAAATATTCTTGTCACCACTTGTTTTGTTGAACTTTTGATGCAGTTTTTAAATATGTATGTTTTATTTTTTATTTCTATACCAATATTTAAATAAAATAGATTGATTGAGTTTTTTTTCGTTTTGCGTAACGAAAAGAAAGATATAGAACGGAGGGAGTAATATTTTAATACATTACATACAAAATACTATGGAGTAATTTAAAAAAATTAGAATAATATTTTGTGCATGTGTACTCATCCCGGACTTCTCTCCTCAAAAGCGGGTCCGCAACCTATATATTGTGGGTCCAAGATAGAGTGTTCTGCGGTTGCGATTTGGGATTCTCTCCTCCTGCAGCTGCAGCCGCCGCCTGCACGTCATTTAAACTCTTGCTTGTCTCCCCCATCGCAGCGATTAAATAAGAGTCCCATGACTCCCGCTATAAATTCCCTTCAATTCAGTCGGCTGATTCAACATTTGACCTTAGCCCCCATTTTGAATCTACAGGAACTGGATTTCGTCTTGAAGACGAGAACAGATTTCTCCATTATTCATGCAAGTGGAAAGACCCTCGTACGTAATTATGATGATCAGTTATCTCGGAGGAGTTTTTAATTTTGAATAGCTTTCTTCTCTTTAATTGATTTGATTTTCTTCCTTGCTTGCAGATCCTTGAATTGATCCTCAGATTTACTTAGCTATTTTTTTGCCCTGAACGAGCTATCCAGCCCTTCTCTCAGTAGTGTGCCTTTCTGGTAATTAAATATGTATCTGCTTTCCATCATCTTCTTTTCCCCTTTCATGATTTATTGCTGTCCATTTCTCTTTAATGGGTACAATAAAAGAAGCACATGGTTCATTTTTTTGAAGTAATTTCTTTGTGAACTTGCATCACTTGTATTTTTTTCCTTAACAAGTTTGGTTTATCTGCACCCTCTTACCATTAGCAACACTGGTTTTGCAAAAGCGGTATCCAAGACCCTTTGTTTTAGAAACTATTCCAATTTTCTTCTAAGAAAAGAAATTTTGATTCATATTCTTTCTCTCTCTTCTAAATAAAACTCAACTTTATTATTTTCATTTTATTAATCTCCTTATCCAAACAAACTTGCATTGTTTTGTGGCATAAGTAATTTACCATCATATTGTACTATACTAGACTCCGTCTACACTCTACACTAATACACTACCAACCCACTGCACACTAATCATGCTGCATAGATATTGCGCATATTGCATCCCCTGTCCTTCAAAACTTTGCCAACTTTGTGTAATTTGACAATCAAAAGTTTTCTTAATTACACATAATTACATAATACAAGTGACTGCATTTACACAAGAAGGGTGCTACTATAAGGAAACTAAATCACCTCTAGTAATTCCATGCCTAAATCAAAGCCTACCATATTCTCAAGACTTAACTAATATACTAAGTGACAATCTACTTCGATATGCTTTGTCCTTTCATGAAAAACTTCTTTGGATGTTATATGAAGAGCAACTTGATTATCACACTATAGTTTCATAGGGATGAGAGCTTTGAAACCAGTTTCATTTGGGAGGTGATATATCCGTATAATTTCAAAAGCAACTTGTGCCATTGCTCTATTTCAGACTCATAACTAGAACGAGAGACAGCATTCTGCTTCTTGCTCTTCCATGTAATCAGATTCCCACCCACAAATACACAACCCGGAGGTGGACCTATGTTCATATCTTGACCCTGCATAATCTGCATCTGCATAACTTTCAACATTCATGTGACCATGGTTTGAACAGACAATACCACGACCACGAGTTCCGTTCAACTCACATAGAGTATGTTCCACGGCGACCCAATGATCAATTACTGTGGATTCCATGAACTGACTTACCACACTAACAGGATAAACATTATTTTGGCTGGTCACAACTACGTAGTTCATTTTACCCACATATCGCTTGTATAGTTGTATCTCTAAACAAATGATTCACCATCATTTCTTGATTGCATATTAAGAACCATAGGCATATTACATGGTTTGGCTGCAAACTTTCCAGTCTTAGACAACTAATCAAGCACCTACTTCCTCTGGGTGAGCAATATCCTTTTTCTGGAACTGACTATGGACAAATGTCTTGAGTGATGAAATACCTACAAGATCACTTCCTATAATAATGATGTCATCTACATAAACAACCAATAAAATGATTCCATGACTAGAATAAAAGAGAGAATGATCAGATTTTCCTTTCACCATTCGAAACTGCTCAATTAATTGGCTGAATTTTCCATACCATGGATGCAGACTTTTGTTTTAGTCCGTACAAAGACTAATGTAGCTGACATTCTCATTCTCCCCCTAAGCTACAAACTCCGGAGGTTGCTCCATATAAACCTCTTCCTCAAGAGGACCATGAATAAAAGCATTCTTGATATATAACTGATTCAGTGGCTAGTTATGGCACGCAGCCATATAGATGACAAAGCGAACAGAAGTGAGCTTTGCCACTGGAGAGAATGTCTCATCATAATCCACACCATTGGTTTGGGCACAACACTTTGAATTGTGTGGAAATTGAGAAAATGAAAACTGTGTGGTAATTGTGGGTTAGATTTAAATTGAATAGATAAAAAAATAAACCACAAAAATTCTTTATTAACATTGTGCTTTTAAATTGTGTTTACTCTTTGGTTGTTACTATGTTTTTTAATACTAATATTATTCTGGGCTTTTCGTGTCCCCAGCATTCAAATAGACCAGACAAACGGTTTTGCCATTGAAATTTGCAATATATTGAATGGGCCCATAAGGTTTCTAATTAAACGTTTTACTTTACATTTTATGTACTGGAGTATCATTTTTTAGTTCTAAAGAAACTGAAGTTTCTCAAATTTTTCCTATTTTCTTCATCATCTCTTCCCTTTGCTCCATTTTCATTTTTGGTGTCCATGGATGCTTATATGATATATATTTTTCAAAGTTTTTATTTTTATTTTTAGAAACAAGTCTAGAAATAAGTTAGGGCCTGTTTAGTAAAGGTTAGTTGGCTGAAAGAGATATATTAAGGTTGCATAGACTACGCAGTTCAACCAACTAAGCCAACACCTTCGTATTTTGCTTATTATCATCACATAAAATGGAACACTTAACTGGTGACTGAGTTTTGTCATGTTCTTATTGACTGAAGCTCCATTAGCATGGGAAAAATGATGATGGAACATGGACATGATGAAGCCGAGGCTAGAAGAAGTGTTTCTTTTGCACGTACTACAAGCAATACCTGTTCTCGTTGCATTCAGTATTCTTTCCCCCAACAGCTGGAGAATGACAGTGAAAGTGAATCTGTATCAGAATCAGGAGATATTGGGGATAGGGCACTTAGCAGAAATATGTCCAGTCGAAGTGGTAGGCTGTTATTTTCTGTTGAAAATACTGCCGAAAGTGGTTTGGTTGTGCCTATTGAAGAGGAAGGTGCTTGGCCACATGATCCAACTGCTACAGATAATGTTTCTCCTGTTACAAAATCTGGAGATGGAATGAAGGTGCATTTTCCCCCTTCTGTTTTATGTCACTAAAGTGTGGTCCTTTTGGTGACTGGTTGAGTTGATTTGTGTTCAGAATTGTGAAAAGGAGGTGCCACGGTGGTTGGATTATATTTCAAGCCTACTGTTTCTAGCTGTCTTTGGAATATTAGGGGTAAACGCCTACACATTTCGCCTGATTTGAATGTTAATTCAGAACCCTTGCTGCTGCCGCTTCTCCCGCAGTCATCATGTATCTGTTTCCCTCTGTGCCTTGAAAACAAAATTTATTCCCTTCTCTATACGTCCGATGCATGGTGAAATCTACTGTCAAGAAACTTCTATTAATTTTACTCTAACTAAATTATTTTAAAATCATTTTTATAAAAGCCATTAATGGCTTCTGGTAAAGTTAAGATTTTTATTGGTCATAAAATCTGCAGGTATTGCTGAGGTATGTTCTTGAAATATTGTTTGGGCCAGGAAATGTGGGTGCTACAAGTGATCAAAACTATATGTATCTCGATCTTCCTTCTAATATGGTAACATGTTCTTTCGATTGGAACATGCTAATGCATGTTCCTATAGAACATCTTTTTATAGAACATGCTAATATGCATCTTCTTTGTATATGGTAACATATGTTTATACGGTATAACACTTCCATGAATCATCATTGAATAAAGTTGCAGTACCCTATAAAAAGTCATCTTCAAATGTGGGAAAATAAGCATATTTTAAAGGCAGTTTAGCTTAAAAATAAACAGATTTTAAAGGCAGATTAGCTTGGAAACAGTAAAATGAACAGATTTTAAAGGCAGTTTAGCTTGGAATTTTGGTCTAACAGCTCCTTCTGAATGATAGAGTGACCATGGTTTACTCTACAAATGATGATTACATTACTCTGTTCTATATCTTCTTTGTTATGTCTTTTCTTTGTCCGACTTGACAGGTTGGTTCATTTTTAATGGGTTGGTTTGGGGTGGTGTTCAAAGGAGACATTTCCAAACTTTCAGCCCAGTTGGCCATTGGATTGACAACAGGTTTTCTAGGAAGCCTTACAACGTTTAGTGGTTGGAACCAGAAGATGCTTGAGTTGAGCGTAGAAGGTCGATGGGTTTTTGCAATACTTGGCATTTTTATAGGTAGACATTTATCTGTAGAACTACTTCAGTTGTCAACCTGCTGCATCTACTTTATTATTCATCCTTTCCACATTCTCTGTTTGATCAAAAGATTAAGCCGACATTGGCAACCATCTTCTTTCGTGTATGATGGAAATTGTCATTCTCGCAGGGTTGTTTCTTGTTGCTTACTCCATTATTTTTGGCATTGAAACTGCAAAAGGTCTTCAATGGGTTCTGAAAAGAACTGGAAACAATAGAAAATCAACATTTGAATGCTCTTGGAAGGTGAACAGTCCAAAACGTCATTTGGTGGTCTCAGTAATACTGCTTCTTACTTTGGCTGCTCTGTGGACTATATGTATAGCACTCGAGATAAGCAAGTTCAAAAAGGGAAACAGTAAATCCCGGCTGTGGTTGGCATGTCTTGTCGGACCATTGGGTGTTTGGATCAGGTGGTTCTTAGCTCGGTTAAATGGCCGTGGTTTAGGAAAATCAGGATTGTTGAAATGGGTACCCTTTGGAACCTTGATTGCCAATGTGTCTGCAGCTTCTGTCATGGCTGGACTAGCAACCTTGAAGAAAGTCGTATGTTTTCTCGTCCAATTTTTTAAAGCACACAACTATCATTCTGAATTGCCCATCTCTTTTTCGCTTTTCACTGCACATAGGCCTTGTTGGATTGATTTGGTTATCAGAATTAAATTACTTAAAATAAACAGCTTTTGACATACCTATACCTATTTAGCTCTAAACATATATTCCTAGAGAAAATAGATATACCCATTTCAGCCAAATAACCCTTACCAAACAGCTCTTAATTCATGTAAATTAGATAGAAGCACGTTTGGAATGATGGGAATTTCCATAACTCTGGAGATTCACACAATGTGTGGGAGCCCCCAATTTCAAAAAAAAGTGGGGAATCACTTAGGACCAAGGAAATTCTTTGGGGTTTTCAAAGCCAAAACACCCTGTTCTAATCCAAACGAGGCCTAATAGTTCCGAAGCTAGGCTTGCACATGGATAATATACCGTAGGGGTTCCAGTATTATACGAAAATGTTAAAATTAGTCCCTGTACTTAAAATAGAAGCAATTTCGTCCATGTACTATTTTTTTGTTCAATATAGTCCTCTTCATTTTTTTATTTTTACCCTTAGCGACAATATCCATTTATACTATAAATACATAGATATGATGTCTTAGTGTAATGATTCATATCTGTTTATATAATTTTAGTTATTTTACAATAAACAATTTAATCCCTATATTTTTCTGTAAAAGTTAATAAATAAATAAATAACTGCATATTGCACTTGATAAAATTTTTTTTTTAAAAAATAAGTATGAATCTGCATGCCAAAAAACTATTTCGATGTCATCTATAGCAACTTCATCGATAAGAGTTCGACACTGGTTAAGGAAAAAAGTGAAGAGAAGGACCTAATTGAACAAAAAAGATTAGTACAGGGACTAAATTGCTTCAATTTTAAGTACATGGACTAATTTGAACATTTTCATATAGTACAGGGGCCTCTACGGTACTTTATCCGTTTGCACAGTGATGTGCACATTGTTGATTAGAACAAATTGTGAGCCCAACTTGTGTGTGTATGGTGCAGGTGAGCACAAAGGACTGTGATACGTTTGTTGGAGGCGTCCAGTTCGGGCTGCTGGGGTGCCTTAGTACGGTTTCTACATTTGTTGCTGAATTTCACGCCATGAGAGAAAGCAAACACCCTTGGAGAGCGTATGCATATGCCCTGGCTACAATACTCCCATCTTTCATCTTTGGGACTCTATTATACTCTGTGCCAGTGTGGACAAAGGGACTTTAATTAACTGAGGGTTTAGGGGAGAACCTGATTGACCAGTTCCAGGCTTGTTGATTCAGTCATACATACCATTTAATTAATTGCACTACTTAATTACTTGTTCAGTCTGTTCATTCACCAAGGATCTTTTGACATTTGAACTCAATGACATAATATGACATTGGACTCATTTGACAGCCTTACAGTGCTCCGTTTGAATCCGAAGTGACTCTCCATTTGACTCCAAAGTTACCCCTACGAATCCCCACCATTATGAATTATTAATTTTGCGAACGGAGCACTGTAAGTGTTGAGTGTCTTCCGTGGCCACTCAAAGAGAGTGGCCATAGAACCGGACCCATATGATATTGGTGGCTAATGTCAACATAATTTAATTCCGCTCGGTTAAAAGCTTGGAGTTAATTATAACTAATTAGTTAGGGGATGTTTGAAGTAGTTTTTTTTTTGGAACAGAGCACATTATTACGGAGTATTAAACAAACCACCCAAATAGTTCAGAATTACAAACTCCCTCTACTGGGACCACACTACCTTTGTCGCCCCCTTGCTATAAAACTTGTAATATCATTGAAAGGGTGTGCATTCCGTTCTTCTAAACTCGTTAATAACGTTTATTAAAATTTTCGTCCATTCTAACTAAATTTCAATTACATAAAATAATCGATGACACAAAAATTACCAACAAATTTTAAATGTCTTCAAACTCCAAGAAAAAAAAAAGAGAGGGAGAGAGATGATACTCTTCGAGCATTTCCGGGCTTTCAAGAAAAGAGAAGAAAATTAAAAATAATTCTTGTATCCATTGATAGTTATTCTTATTTCTTAGGGGTACATCTAGACCTGGCAATCGGGTCAATTGGTTCGGTTCTGGTTCGGGTCTTTTCGATTCGGGTCTCTTTCGGATATATATTATAATGGGTTCGGGTCGGTTCAGTTCGGGTCAGTTCGGTTCCGGGTTTATTTCAGTTTGATTGGTTTTTGGTTTCGGTTTGGTTTCGGTTCGGGTTTATATCGGTTCGGGTTTATATCGGTTCGGGTTTGTATCGGTTCGGGTTATATCGGTTCAGGTTTGTATCAATTCGGGTTGTATTGATTTGGATTCATATAGATTTGAGTTTATATCGGTTTAAATTTATATTATTAGTTCAAGTATAATGTAAACACATACTAATAAATGAATAATATCACATAATAAATTTAGTTAATTTAGTTAACTATAATTTTTATATACTTTCTATAAAAATATAAAAATATTTTAACTTAAGTTATAAAATGCAAAGTAAAAGATTTGTAGTACATGAAAGTGGTTACATGGTTTGCACCCATAATTTAAATATGTTTTTTTAGAAACACATCAACATATGTAAAAATATATAGCTAATTCGTTTTTTCCAAATTCATTTCATAAATGAAATATTAATGAATTTGATCAATTTCGGGTCTAATCGGTTTCGGGTCTAATCGGTTCCGGGTTTAACCGGATTCGGGTTTAATCGGATTCGGGTCTGAATCGGGTTTGAATACATTCGGTTCGGGTTCGGTTCGAATCATTTCGGGTGTTCGGTTCTATTTCGGTTCTTCAGTTTTCGGGTCAATTCGGGTTCAGTTCCGAGTTATTCGGTTCGGGTTATCGGGTCCGAGTCAGTTTTGTCAGGTCTAGGTACATCTATAGATGATAGAGAAACTTTAAACCTAGTACGACTATAAAACTTAATTTTGCTCGTTCAATAGATGTAACGATGTAAACATCGAAAAAGAAACCTTCAAAGAACTTTATAATTTTTATCACATAATAAAATCTAAATTACAATATATAATAAATAATAAATACTCTTTCCGTCCGGAAATGTTCTTCCCGTGTTGACTTGGCACGCTTATTAATGAATAGAAAAAAATGCAAAATTTTCAAAAATGCACATACTATAAACTTTTAAATCTCCTTTTATTATTAAAAAAGTACTAAAAAAGTAGATTTGTGATAAAATAGAAGGATATTATTGATATTTAGCCTTAAAAAGTATACTAAAAAAAGGAAATGGAAAGAATATTTTCGGACGGACCAAAAAGGAAAAAAGAGAAGAACATTTTCGGACGAAGGAAGTACTTACTATTAAGGGAGTAATAAATAAATAAGGAGTACTAAATTATTCCGTAATTAAATAATTAGTCCACCATCGGTATAAACTTCTATATAAGTGATGTCTTTAGAAAAATTGAATGATTTATCCGTACTCAATGGAAAATCAAGCTCGAGTTTGGAATAATCAAAGCATCATCATTATTATTACAAATGAAAAGAAGAGAAAAATTCACCGTACAAAGGTTGTTCACGAAATGGAAGGACAATTCTCTCGGAGCTTATTATTGAAATGTAATAGATAAGTAATTACTGAGGAAGCTTGTTTAGCTTGCAATAAGCAAAATCTTTGTACTTCTTGGTCTTGTATTTCGCAGGGTTCTTCTCATCAACCAACTTGGGAATGGGACCAACTTCAAACTCAGGGGGCGGCTCCAAGAAAACAGGCCAAGACATTCTCGTCTTTTCCTTGTTCACCGTCGTCCTGTGGAGCACGCTCTTGTACTTTCCGTTGCTCAGAATCTGTCAAAAAATCTCAAACCTCAAACAAAAATGCAAAATTTCTCACAAGATAATATTTTAATTAGGGTTGCGTTCATATTTTTTCACTAAAATTTTAAAAGCGACGAATGAGTTGGAATGAAACATATTCTAAACTTCCAAGAAAAGAGAAAGATAAGAATAAAAAAATGTACGTAGTACCTCGATTTGGTCACCAATGTGGATGATGAGGGCATTGGGGATGTACTTGACATCGTACCAATGGTTGTCTTTGAAAACTTGGAGACCTTGGACTTCGTTGGGTACAAGAATGGTGATGGCTGACATGTCGGTGTGGGCCACGACTCCGAGGGCCAAATCGGGGCGAGGGCATGGCGGGTAGTAGTTGATCTTGAGGAGGTAAATGATGTCTTCACCCCCTGCAGCCTCCTTCACCTCATGGCCTTCAAGCCCCAAACTGAGTGATAAGCTTCTCAATAGTCTGTCCCCCACCTCTCGCAGCCTCTTAGCGTATTCCTCATTCGCTTCCCTGCAAAACTCAATTGTGTTTTTAACCGTTGATATGATTAAGTAGTTTAATTGAAAATGACTGATGTCATGCTTCTCATATGTCTTCTAAACAAAACATTTGCAGCAAATTTATTGGATCTTTAAACTTGAGGACGATGCTACTGGAGGTGGTTTGTGATAAATCTCATGTGTCATTTCGTGCCACCACACAGGCAAATTTGCATAATATTAGATACACAGTAATATTGACTACACATTCGATCACATCCATCCCAAAGTTACTGGTCGGTAATGCTACTTGAAAATATTGCCTCCGCCACCTACACAACAATCTCCATAAAAATTTTTGGAGTAATTAAGAAGCTAAAGGATTTGATATACAAAGCTAGCAAGACCGCTAATAGAAATAAGTTTAATGCGACAATTCTCCAAATAGCGTCGCAAAATTAAGCATCAAACAACTACTAATGACGATTCCAACGCACGTGTGGGCATTTTCCCATGATGAAGGTGGCACACGCTATGGTATTATGACCACAAATAAGTCAGAAAGATCCAATAATGAGCTGAAGGGATGTCAATGTTTGCTTGAACATGCCATTATCAAGTTCTCGTACTATAAATTGGTCAAACTACTTGTTGATAGACAAATAGATGGGTACTTGTACAAGAATTAGTCGTCTAACATTTTGTTTCTTTTTACGAAGCTATGACTTTAAATAGTTCAGTACAGTTACTCCCTATTAGGGCACTGGTAATGGAAGTAACGCTAGGGGCGTTATTACCCCTTTTAACGCCAAAGGGCCAGCAAACACCGCCCCCTTGGGGCTTCATAGGGGCTTCATACTTCCTACTTCAAACATTTAACAGCCTTCAAAGTCCCCCACTCTCTCTTTTAAAAAATATACACAAACATAAATTTTTTTACTCTATATTTTGTTGTTTAATGTAATATTTTTTTGTTTAAATTTTTTTTGGTAATGTAATTTTGTTTTGTTTTTTTATTAAATTTAACATACTTTTTTTATTGACTGTATTTTTTATTTAATGAATTATTTCAGTTTGCAATATGTTACTACCACTCGAATTTGAATGAAGATATTTTTAGTCACTCGAATAATTAGTAATTTCTTTGTAGTGTTATTTTTTATGGATGTAATATTTTTTTAATAAATGTAACTTTTTTATGAATGTATTCTTCTATGAATGTAATATTTTTTTAATGAATGTAATATTTTTAATGCTCTAGTCTCCTTTTGATTAATTTAAATAAAAAATTAATTAAAATGTAATAATATAAATTTAGAAGATGTATATTTAAAAGTGTAAAAAATAAAGGTTTGAAGCCCCTGTTTGAAGCCCCGGGGCTTCAAACCCAATTCCACTGAATCTGTGAGGTAAGTTAAAGCTGATGTGGCAGAGAGAGAAATTTTGAAGCCCCGGTTTGAAGCCCCGGGGCTTCACGAGTATTTCCAGTGCTCTTAGAGTCAACAGAAATGAGTATACTCATACGGAGTATTACTTTCTTAAGTTTCTTTAAGTTACAAAAAAAAACTTTCACCCCGTACTCCATGTTTCAGAATAATTCAAAATGAGTTGTTTTTGGGGTGTGACAAAAAAGAAATTAGTGAAGATTTAATCTAGAGCGGACAATATTACACTACTGGGTTAGGGTCAAGTATAGACAATCTTAACATATGGTATTAGAGGCCGAGTTCAGAGTGGTTAGCAAATGGTAGACTGCGACGTGCAAATTCAAGAAGTTCACCATGGTCGACTGGAGTAGGACCCAAAGAAGATTCTTTTTTTATAAATTAAAAGCCCAAACTTTTCATGGTGTCCATATTCTAAAGTTAATCAAATTAGAATGGATCCAAGGAATATGTAGAATTTGCCTTGAAATTAATAGTTTGATCCTTCATCTTTTGGCAAATTGATCGATCAGGTCGGGTTTGAGTTGGGTTACTTTGGTTCAGGTCAATAGTGTCCTCGAGTTGAGAATTGTATATTCATGACTTAGTGTCGTCGAGTTTTGATCGACTCAACAAGATATAACTTTGGTTTTTAAGATTTTTAAATTTATATTAACACATGCATTTCACATTAAATAAAATTAAAATATGAAAGAATATGTTTAAATATATTATACTCTTGTATTATTTTATTTCAAATTCTAATGTATTTTTGAGGTATATAAATCAACACAAAGAATTAAAAAATGCAAAATTTTTGGAAAAGTAGGATAATTATGCAATATCATTAAAACTTTGTCCGGGAATATAAATTTATTAATTTAAAAAACAAGTAGTGAGAAAAAAATATACGAGTATAATCATAACTTTAATAATATTATATTTCATAGTAAAGTACACCCTCCGTCCGGAAATATTCTTCCCATTTGACTTTTCACGGTCTCCAATGTTGCACTTTGACCATTAATATCTAAATGTATACATAGATATATTTAATACTCCGTATAAAATTGATATCTAAAAACTACGTTTCATTAGATATATATTGATATTTAATTTATGTTATAATATAATGTATTTTTTCTACAAATCATAGTCAAAGTTTACAAACTTTGACCAAGAAAAGTCAAATGTGAAGAACATTTCCGGACGGAGGGAGTATATAACTTTTAGAAAATTTTGCATTAGTGGGTGGGTCAGGTAGGGTTTCATCGGGTTGAACCCATTTTTAACATGTCATATTTGGGTTCGATCAACTTCGGTTTGGTTCAAGGTTTAATTCGTTTTGATTTAATTGGATTTGTGTTTAATTTGTTTTAAATTTGATCAGTATTGGGTCTAGTCAGTTTTGGGTCTAATTGATTCCGAATCGAATAGGTTTCGGGTCTAATCAGTTCCGGGCTTAATCAGTTTGGTGTAATTGATTCACGTTCAATCAGATTCAAATCTGAATCGAGTCTGAATACGTTCAGTTCGGTTTGAATCATTTTGAGTGTTTGGGTGTAATTCGATTCTTAAGTTTTTGAATTATTTCAGGTTCGATTTCGGGTTATTCGGTTCGGGTTATCAGTTGTTTGGGACTCTCATTTTCTGTATATGGTTGATTTTTGGTGGCCATTGTGGTAATTTTAAGAAATATAAGTTGAGAAAATAAGTTGAACGGAACGGAGCCTTAGTTCTTTACCTTGATTTTGAATTTGGTTAATTAGTTGGGTACCTAATGTCTTAGTTATTACCGAGCAATTATATTTTGTAAAATTTGCAGTGAATAAGACTAAAACATAAGTCATTCCCCAATGTAGGACTTAGGCCTTGTTTGGGAAGAGCGTTTTCAATTAGCGTTAGCGTTTTGGATAAAATATTAACGGTGTAGATTAATTCAGAAAACGCTAACGCTAAAGGCTACCGTCGGATAGCCTTTTCAAAACGCTAACCCTAATCTATAACGCTGATACCAAACAGGGCCTTAAACTTTTTTATTCCCTAAATAAGACTTAATAATGACTAGTGAGAAGAATAATGTCCAAGTGATGCTGGACATTTAGTTAAATAATGACTAATAGATAATGACCAAAGATCCTACGTTGGGAAATAAAAACATATAGTCCTATATTGAGAAAGTCATTATGTTTTAGTCCTATTTAAGTAAATTACTCTTATATTTTACCCGAAAATTCTCACATATAACTATTACAAGATATAAATTCCTCTAGTGTTTTTCATGCATATATATGAATGTCAAATGTCAATCAATTGCGAGGAGTATATATATATATATATATATATATAAAGAAGTTAAGCTACAAAGAAAGATGTTTGTATACATAAAGAGGATTGGGAGTTAATTGCAATCATAGATACATACCTATAGGAAGGAGGGGTTTTAGGCCAGAATCTGTAGTTGATAGCGGAAGGAGGCCAGACCTTGTGGAACAAGTGATCGACCCACCCCCTCTTCCCCTCCAGGTCCTTCTGCAACGTGGTCCCGTACCCCTCCACGCCCCCGCCGCCGTCCTTGGCCACCGCCTCCTTCTCCTCCTGGGGCAGCTCGAAGAACTCCTTCCCCACCCTCTGCAGCTCCGCCGTCACCTCCTCCGGTATCCCGTGGTTCACCACCTGGAATATCCCCCACTCCCTGCTCGCCTCCCCTACCTTCTCCGCCAGCTCCTCCTCCCTCTCGCTCATGTCGATCACCGGCACATTCAGGACAACCCCCTGCACCGTCGTCTCCGCCGGCTGCTCCTTCTCCGACCGGATGTACTCCGCCGGGATCGTGTCGGTGGATTTTGACAGAGAACTCGCCACTGCTTGCACCCTCTCCACCTCCGCCATTTCCTTTTTCTTCTTTTTCTTTTTCTTTTTTTTTTTTAAATTTATGTGTCTGTGTTTGTGTAGTATAGAGTAAGTTAAGGAGTTTACTCTGTATCTACTACGTTGGGGTATGCAGAACCGCCCAGTTTTTCGTTGAGAGAGTTTGTTGGAGGGAGTGATAAATACGGGTGGATGGGCGGAGTTTGTTGGAATGAGCGGTTCAAATTACGTAGCCAGTGTGGCTCGTGGGATAGCTGCTACCTACTCTTTTTGTTGGGGGGCACACAGCAAATTAATGTTGGAAAAAAGTTGGTGTCTCAAAAAAAATGCGTGCAAATATTAAAAATATAAAATTTGCATTGAATAGGACTAAAATATAAGTTATTTTTCAATATAGGACTTAAACTTTTTTATTTCCTAAATAAGACTTAATAATGACTTGTGAAAAGATAATGTCCAAGTAATGCTAGATATTTAGTTGAATAATGACTAATAGATGATCACCAATGGTCCTACATTGGGAAATAAAAATATATGGTCCTATATTGAGAAAGTAATTATGTTTCAGTCCTATTTACTTTGCATAAGTTTCTCACACACAAAACAATAATTAAAACATGACTCTTTTTTCAGACGAAGCACCTAAGTAGTGAAATTTGTACTAAATAGGATTAAAACATAAGTCATTTCCCAATGTAGGACTTAAACTTTTTTTATTCCCTAAATAGGATCTAATAATGACAAGTGAGAAGAATAATATCCAACTGATGCTGGACATTTAGTTGAATAATGACTAATAGATAATAACCAAAGGTCCTACATTGAGAAATAAAAACATATGGTCATATATTGAGAAAGTCATTATGTTTTAGTCCTATTTAGGTAAATTACACATACTAAATTATATGGATGAGAGAGTGGGTCAAGGGCTAATCGGTTGAACCGGTCAGCCTGTGGTCAACGACCCGGTCAAACTATAATTAGAATGTTAATATTTTGTATTATCTTATTAGGTACTTATAGTTAATAAAGTATTTAGCTTGTGTCTTTTTTACTTCTCAATCTAGTTTTTAATATCATTGTGTATATATTATTTCACAATTTCTATTTTTATTCTATTATTTTTATTATTATTAAAAATTAATAGTGAATGTCTAACAGATACTTAAATAATAAGGTAATACTCATATTTTAAAAAAATAAAGAATTGATCAGTATGTTCTTATATACTATTTACATTTTACGGAGTGAAATTTATATTTAGTTGATTAAATGATTGAAAATATAAAAAACAACATATTAGATTATAATTAATATCCCAAAGATGAAAATAATACTTTAAGTATAATTTATTTATATTTTTCTTAAGATAAAAAAATAAATAATACTAAATATACATTAATAAGTTTGAACAACTTTAAAATTTAATAATATAAATATATTATATAAATATAGTTCTTTTTCAAATAATAGGAACTCTTTTAATATTAATAGATTAAAACGCTGATACATTCCATATTGTATGGCATTTGTATCAAAAGATGTAGTAGCCCATTTGGGTAAAACCCAGTTTCTCGATTCTTGGTTTGAACGGGTCAAAGAAAAAGCAGGTTTTAATGTTGAACTGGACCATATTGGTGTCTGGTTCGCGGTCCAATCATTTGGACCGGCCGGTCCGGTCCAATACTAATAACATTTCTCAGCACACAATGTTAACAAGGATTAAGAAATATGTTGTGCATGTTGTTAAAAAATTACACTACGACGAAAATAAAATAAAAAAATAACTCTGATCTTATAATATGTTCGAATTTTACAAGGGAATAAATAAAATAAGGTAAAGTGACACCGGTTATTGGACGAGGAACGGATCCTTGAAGCTTCTAAGAATGGACAGTAGTGAGCAGAGAGAACATGTAAACTTTAAGAAAAATAGAGTCGCCAGAGCTTTCCTTAAGATAGTATCGCTCGCCTCCCGCACTGGTTAATCTAGACGATCCCCTCCCAAGATAAAACTGCTAACGTGCAAAGTCTAAAGCGGTAGATCAATGCACTGACGAACAGGAACGAAGGAGAGCTATTCACTGGAAAAAAGATTGGAAAAATTGAGAGGGAGTTGGACGTAGGGAGCTTTCGCTTTTGAGTGTGTATGCTCTGCTGCGAGACCCTCCTTATATAAAAGCGAGGTTTGGCTCATCGGGTGGACATTGGGCAACCATTATGAGGAGTCACTTGACTCTTCGGATGGACACTAGCGGACATTATGAGGAGACACGAGTGCATGCATGCTTTGGTTCCGCCATTTCATTAATAACAAAGTTCCCCATTTGTGTTCGATTCGATCTTGTAAAAAGATAAAAGTTGGTTGGCACCCTCGCCACGCCACGACGCATCGCGCGCGTGCATGCCACACGCCAACACACGTTCGCACATGCACGTACATGAGTGTCATGACGTGTCATCCTGGCGACAGCGCGACAGTGCGCAAGGGATCCTTTCTTTCCTCCTTTTCAAAATTTCTTTACCATGCAATTCAATGCTAGCATAAAAATAGTGGAATATGAAAGGATTCGAATCCGATGTGGGATATGTGCGATTTACTCTTTCTAAGTTTTCGACTTTGTGAATTAATTTCTCATTCACCCGAGTACTAATTTTAGCGTATGGTATATCGAAATGCTTGTCTCACTTGGAAGATTAATTGTCTATAATTATTTTGGGAAAATAATTTTATGGACCCCACAAAATTTAGGTCCAAAGTTTTTCCGTTACAAGCTAAAATTACAACAATCCCCCACATGAATGAAAATTAATTCATGTACTTGACAATAACTCCACTGTTGAGAACTGCAAGAATAGGTAGGTTTTGTGCCTTTGAACCTACTCCTTGTAGGGTATACCTTCTTTACTGGTTGCTAAATAGAACATGATGTCTTTGAATTGTATTGCCGTTTGGGTAAATGACGATATATCATACACAAGTTTCAATTAACCATCATTCCTTTATCATGGGTGTGCCTGTTATGGTCATGAAACATGCATTTGGTTCTGCGAGAGTGTCAGACAGGATTAGCCCGTTATCCTTTTGTTGAAGCGATCGCATTTCACTCTTACATAGGTGATTCTTCTAAGAGTATCCCGATTACTCCACTAGGACCCCCATTGTCTATAGTTCAAAAATCATTAAAGCATATTGATCATGCTCCTCAACATTTTCAGGAGTCACTATATCTTGGTAAGAACGAAGGGGTTTTAAATCAGTGATCTAGCCCCCCCACAGTGACCATGCTTCGTCCCATAAGTAGGTTGTCCCATTGAACCTAGATACCACCCATGTAATACTCCGTATTAAGATGGGAATGGTAAGAGCTCAAAAGGATTGATAAGTACTACTCATACCAACAAGGTGCATCTTCTTTTCGAGAGCTCATCACCTAGAAACTCCAGAGTTAAGCGTGCTTGAAATGGAGTAATTGTAGGATGGGTGACCCCCTAGGAAATTCCTTGGGCGCGCACAAGTGAGGACAAAAATGCGCGGGAGAGATTTGTGTTGGTTTGTGGGGCCAGTCTACAATCATATGCAAACACTTACGGCTAGGGTGGGGGCCGGGGTGTTACAAATGGTATCAGAGCAACCCTGCAACCGTGAAAAACCAAAAAAGCTTAGTTCACCTAGCAGGGAAGATCTAAGGGTTTAAAAAATAGGATGCAACGAGGACGTTGCATTCCTAAGTGGGGTGAATGTAATACCCCGTATTAAGTTGGGAATGTGAAGAGGTCAAAAGGATTGATAGTACTACTCATACCAACAAGGTGCATCTTCTTTTCGAGAGCTCATCACCTAGAAACTCCAAAGTTAAGTGTGCTTGACACAGAGCAATTTTAGGATGGGTGACCCCCTAAAATATATTGGGTATGACGACAGTGTGTTATGCCCATGGTCTGGAAGTGTATACCAACTTATACACATTTTTTGGTGGTGTGGAATATAATGCAAGGACAAATTTGGAAATGCATCCACACGAGTTTCAATATCTCATAGCAGTGCTATATTGGGTATTTTAAGCATATATAAGTGCTATGACGGTACTTCTTCCAAAATATTATCTGTCTTCGTATATACACACAGTGTAGAGATGAGATTATTATCTGTCTTTGTATATATACACACTGCGTTGTTCTTGTTGTTGTTGTATATATACTCAAGTGTAGAGGATGAGTAGTTTACTCCTTTGTCCCAAATTAATCTTTCTTATTTTGGTTTTTTGGTTATCCTAAATTAATCTTTCTCTTTTATTTTTTGAAAAGTTTTTTGTGGCTCGCCTTTTTTCTCTCTTCAGCATCACTTTAAACCACAAAATTTTATTTTTTTCTTAAGCTCCATGCAAAGTCAAACTACGAGTATTAATTTGGGACGGAGGAAGTACTAAACTTATTTACAACAAATAATTGCTAACAGAAACGCCTTTCTAAAAGGTGATTAAAAGAACAACTATGTTAAATGTACACTACTTGGTGGATACCAAGTTGTACAATAAGGATTTGCACCGATTCACCGACACATTGATTGCTTGTATTGACCGGCATAGATGTCAGTGTGAAATTTTACGAATTTACTAATGTTTTGTACCAATGCCTATAATCAAAGTATATATCAATATAAATTTTTGTTGTATAATTTGGTGACTAGTTGGTTGATTTGGTTTTTCGGCCAAATAACGCGAAAGCCCCCCGTAGTTTGATAAATAAGCACCAAAACTCCCTCTCTTTTCAATACTTATTCCTAAATTCCTATGGTTTTTAAAGGATGCACATTCGCTCCCAAGCTATTTTCTATTCATCTGTAGCCGACAAAGAATATGAAAAAGACAAATATGCCCCATTTTTTTCTCTTTTTAAATTTTGAAATTAAAGTCTTTCTACATAATTTAAAAAAGGGTAATTTACCTAAATAAGACTAAAACATAATAATGATTTTCTCAATATAGGACCATAAAACCTCAAACA